AGTACTTTCATCCAACTGGTTAACATAGCCTTCATGTCTTTTTCTTAGTTATTGTGTTAAGACATTTATATTCTACATTTAGAGAGATTCACATGTACCCTTATAGGATGAACCATAGGCGTGATCCCACCAATCACCCTCCCTCCACTGATCCTCTCCCCTCCCCTTCCTTTTCTCCTCTCCCCATATTCCTGGGCTAAAATTGGATTATAGCTTTCCTATGAAAGCTACAAATTAGTTTCATAATAGGGCTTAGTACATTGGATACTTTTTCTTCCATTCTTGGGATACTTTGCTAAGAATATTTTCCAGCTCCATCCATATAAACATGAAGGAGGTAAAGTCTCCATCTTTCTTAATGGCTAATGGCTATATAGTGTTCCATGGTGTACATATACCACAATTTATTGATCCATTTGTGAATCGATGGGCTCTTCGACTTCTTCCATGACCTAGCAATTATGAATTGGGCTGCAGTGAACATTCTGATACAAATATCTTTATTGTAGTGTGATTTTTGATCTTTCGGATATGTACCTAATAGAGAAATTATAGGATCAAATGGCAGGTCTATTTTTAGTTCTTTAAGTGTTCTCCAGATGTCTTTCCAACTCGTGAGCTCAAGCTATCCACCCGCCTCAGCCTCCTAGAGTGCTAGGATTACAGGTGTGACCCACCACACCCAGTCACTTGTAATTCCTCTTTTAATATGGCTTTGTATTTCAAAAACTCTGAAGAAAGATTTAATTTTAGTAAGACCTTATTATTTCTCTTACTAAATTAAGTTCTCCTAACTGCTTGGTTACACTGAAACACTATTGTTTGACATATCTACAATATGACATTTAATAGTAATTGAGACTAAAGACATACTTTGACCTTTTTTTAACTAGGAATTGTATTTCAGGTTTTTGTTTTAGGAGATTACATTGTTTATATCATATATGATTTGGCAAGACAGTGATGGATTTGATAATGACCAATCAGTAGTTGGTTTGATAACAATCAAAATTGTTATTAATCCTTCTATAGAAAAAAAGTATATTGAAATGTTTTTGTTTTACTTATTACATTTATTATATATTACATTGTAACACATTTTGCCTTTTTTTATGTATGTCCTGTCTCCTAAATTATGCAGTAAATTTCTTAGCGTAGTGGTCCACAGTACCTCACAGAATATCTGGCTTACACACATTAGGCACTTGTGTTTGCTGCCTGTGACCACTCAAAGTTCATCATTGTAACTATTGTTACTGACCTGTATGCTCATCTTTGTTATCCCTCCCTAGTTATTATTTATGTTAATCAGATATATATTGAGTACTACATACAAGGTACTTTATTGGGAATGTGGTGTACCTAAGTAACTTGAATTTAAAATGGTGAAAGTGATATCTAAGGAAGTTTAATCTGACAACTTGTTCTTGACATTTCTTTTTGGTAAATAGTTCACGATTTGTGTTTCCCTTTGTTAGTGACCCTGACATCAACCCCCATCCGAGGAGCAGGAGATGGAATGGAAACTGAGGAGCCACCTAAATCTGTTGAAGTCACATCTGGAGTCCAATCTAGAAAGCATCACACCCTTCAGAGTCCATGGAAGAAAGCTATTCCATCAGAAAGCCCAGGAGTTCTTCAGTTAGGGAAAATTCTCACTGAAAAAGCAGTGGAAGTCGAAGCTGTAAGAATATTAGTTCCTAAAGCTGCTGTAACTCATGATATCCCCAATAAAAATGCAAAGGTTAAGTCAATGGGACATCATAAAGGAGAATGTCTTGGTCAATCAGAGGGAGTTGTAGAACCTAACAAAGAACTCTTAGAGGTAAAGAATATATTGGAAAAGCTCAAGAACTCTGAAAGAAGGTTATTACAGGACAAAGAAGGTCTTTCAAACCAGCTCCGAGTACAGACAGAGGTAAGAACAGCCTTAACAGATTTAATGAGTACGATTCTTTACAGCTGAACCTTCTAAACCTGAATGTTAGAAAACTGTTTCATGAGAATGTCATTCATCATAGCTTGTCATATCTTTACAATGCTTCTTCAATTTCTCATTCTCAGAGCCTCTAGAGCAGTGATTCTCAACCTTCCTAATGCCTCCTAATGTCGCGACCTTTTAATACAGTTCTTCATGTTGTGGTGATCCCCAACAATTATTTTCGTTGCTACTTCATAACTGTAATTTTGCTACTGTTACGAATCATAATGTAAATATCTGATATGCAGGGTATATTTTCATTGTTACAAAGGGGGTGCGACCACAAGTTGAGAACTGCTGCTCTGGGGGAGTTTATACCCATATTTGGGGAACTTATACTCTACACCTCATTCAAGATGAAGATGTAAGGTACTTTGGAAAAGATAATCTATATAAGTTTTAAAAGGGGGTTATAGTTTTAAACTGCCAAATGAAAGATTGACCAAGTCAGGCTTTCAAATTGACTAGTTTAGTAGTTCCTATTTTAAAGATTCATAAATGCCAAGTATTTTTGCCAGTGTAGACATAATATTTGAAATAAAGAGAATGATGGTGTATGTTATTGTGTCTTCATTATAAATAGAAAACAATCTATTGTGCTTGATTGTATTGCTTTAATCTTGACCTCTTAGGAAAAGTTGCCAAAAAAAAAAAAAAAAAGTTGCCTGTTCTCTTCCCTTGTTTCCCCATATAGTATTACAACAGTGTTCTTCAATCTTTCCACCATATAAACACTTTTATTAGACATTTGTTTTAATTTTTTGCTCTTTTCAGTCACCATGTACTCACAGATAGCCCAGATTACTGCTTTAACTAATTTCTTATAAGTAAATTCCTAGGATACAAAGAAATCAATTTATGTTGAATTCAAAAACATATAAAACATTCTCTGTCATTTTTTTTTTTTTTTTTTTTTTACCAAATTTAGTTTAGTTTCTGACTTTTTTTTCCTTAAGTGTTGACTGGAAGCAATTTGTTATTTTCATGATAATGATTTCTAAGAGGCTCAGTTTGTAACCACATAAATGAATAATAGATATACAGAGAGAGGTAGACCGATGTGGTTTATAAATATTGCGAAATATATTTAATTTCACTTTTTGACATACACTTTAAATAGTAGAGGTCCAGATTGCACAGAAGCACAGTTTCTCTTTTGTTGATTTTGTTATACATGTTAAAGTCAATGCCATGACTTTGAGCTTGTTATGGTCTCTTTTAGGTAAATCGTGAGTTAAAAAAGTTGCTGGTGGCTTCTGTTGGTGATGATCTTCAGTATCACTTTGAACGTCTAGCCCGTGAGAAAAATCAGCTTATTTTAGAAAATGAAGCACTAGGTCGAAACACTGCTCAGCTTTCTGAACAGCTAGAACGTATGTCAATACAGTGTGATGTATGGCGAAGTAAATTCCTTGCAAGCAGGTATTTCTATTGTAAATAGTGTTTCATTTCCTAGTTCATTTCTATGTTTATCAGATTTCTGACCTATAACACAAGAAAATAGATTGGAATATGAGAATTTCTAAAATTGTCAGAATCCTTCATGTAGTGTTTAACATATGGACTTTTCCCTTCTCTGGCTTATCAGATGAACTTCCCTAAATAGAGAAGAAATATAAGTATCCTCCCTTATTCCTGAATTCTAGGTTATTACTCTATAGTAGAAATCGTTCCTACTACAATGTTTAAGACAAAAGCAAAACCATAAATTGAGACATGTAGTAAACACAGAAGAACCTCCATAGTTGATCACCTCCTTAAATTGACCTAATTTTCATAGACCAGACATGCATCGCATGTATTAATCAGTACAGTAGCCCTTGTTTCTTATGTTGACCACCTCCATATGTTGACAATTTCTTACAGTCCTTTGAGTGATCACATTATAGAGATTTCACTGTATTTAATAAAAGGCCAAAATAAATTGTTTTTCTTCACTTCCTATCTGGAAAAATCAAACATCATTTCTATTCCCTAAGATATTATTTATTTTTTATGCTCTGTTCTCATAGCTCTTTTAACTACGTAATAAAACTTCCCAACCTTTTTCTCTCCGATCACAAGTAGAAAATAATAACATTTTTAAGACATACTGGATAAAGCTACTTTTCAACAGAGGTAAAAACTCCATGGTCCTCATCCTGGCCTCTGGACACACTAACGGTTGGGAAACTCTGCTGTATATTATGATTCTTTGTCCATTTGTTGCTTCCATCCCCTCAACTTCATGCTATTGAAGAACGGGATCTGGATGTCCTCCATTTGTGTATTTCCAGCACTTAGCAAAGCACTTCACACATAATATAATAACTGTTGATTTAAATTGAATCATCTAGAGATGTCTCTTAAAACAACAAAGTTTTCCAGGTTATACTCTGAGAACCACCAATTGTGATAAGTAAATCTTTAGGAAAGTATTTCTTTGTGTCTTAATATCAACAATACTTTGTATTAGTTGATTACCTTAATTTATTTTTTTCCTTATTGTACTACTATAGTGTGCTATTTGGAGAAATAAACTTACTATTTATGGACTGTTATACAGATTATTGCAGTATCTTTTAATGTCAGAATTGTTTATTTTAAGAAATTTGGTAGTGAGTATGGTCTTAAATTTTAGTTTTAAGATATTCAGCTGAATAACCGTCATACTTTACAATTTTGCTTCCACTCCATCAATAGAAAACTAGTTAAATGAAAATTAGTACATCAAATGAGTAGAAAACATGAAGCTATTTTTTAAAACCAGGAGTGAAGACAGCTCTATATGTAGTAATATGGAACAATCTCTAAGATAAATTATTAAGTGAAAAAAAGAAAGATGTAGACAAGTTTATATTGAATAACCCCTTTTTGTAACTAAAATGGATATAGTTTTAACACATATTTTTATATTGAAATGTACATAAGTTATTTATTTTTGGAAAAGTGTATAAGAAAACGTTTGTTAACTTCGCTTGATACTTGATTATGCTAGGAAAAAAAAGAAACTATTAGTTACATATAATAGAAGAATGGAGATACTTGGCAGGGGGAAAGACCTAGTTTTCTTTTTATATTGGTCTTTCTTTTTAAATAAGTTTTTTTTTTTTTTTATTATATGGATTTAGGAGATGCATGTGCAGATTTGTAACATGCATATATTATGTGGTGGTGAAGTCTATGTTTTTTGTGTAACCCTCACTGGATTAATTCATTGTGTAATTTTTCATCCTATACCTCTCTCCCACCCTCCCAAGTCTCCAGTGTCTATTATTCTACTCTCTATGCCTGTATGTACTCATTATTTAGCTCCTACTTACAAGTGAGAAATGGGGTGTTGGAATTTCTGTGTCTGAAATATTTATTTCACTTAAGATAGTAGCTTCCGTCCATGTTCTTCCAATAGACAAGATTTCATTCCTTTTAATGGCTGAGTAATGTTCTGTGGTGTATGTATATATACCATGTTTTCTTTATCCAGTCATCAATTGAGTGACACATACATTAATACTCTATCTTTGCCATTGTGAATAGTGCTGTAATAAACATTCAAGT